AATGACTTCCCGCTCAGTAGCCAGAAATGGTTCACAGTATGTGGAAGTTAAGCTGCATTTGGAACAAAGGAGAATTGTGACAAATAAGTTCAAAGTCTATTCCTACAGAGTGCCATTAGTAGCAGTAGATTCTAGCATGGGCTCCAAAGGTAATGTTAGAACTAACATTAGGGCTAACTTAGCAGTCACTCTATACACATGATGTGATACCACATGAGTTACTTAGGTAAAACTACAACTCCAATGCAAGTGCCTTTCTATTCAGGAAGACACTCTCCAGGCGTCGGTAGCTTAGGTTCGAAGCTTGAAGCCGTTCAGCTCATATAATGGCAAATGTTACTATTATCAACTTAATCAACACCAGGCCCTTGGCCAGTTATCAAAGTGAATGTCAGAGGTGGTTTTCTGAGTGTCTTTGAAATGAATGGTTTCTAAAGCTAGCAAATGAGCCCTCACTTGGGAAATTAAAGATATGTTCAAGCCATGAAAATTGACCAGTGTTTTAGAGGTACCCCTACCTTTGTATGAATAAGGCTTCAGCCTTGATAAGTTTGCCCCCTAAATGGCCATGAATCCAGCCCTGTTGGAAGATTTCCAGTTGCTAGGTGTTGTCTGCATTGTTGTAATGGCAGTTGGTAAAGCTTTTCATACAAAGCAATGGTGAGAACAACCTGACTCTAAGAGAGCTGGTCAGACAGGGTGGCTCACACTTGGCATTCTAACTACTCAGGAGCTGGAGCTCAAGAGGAGCACAGATTGAAGCCAGCCCAGAAAAAAGTTCATGAAATTCCATCTCAACCGAAGGCTGGGGTATAGTAGCATGTACCTATTATCCCAACTCCAGTGGGAAGTATAAATAAGAGGATCACAGTCCAGGAGATCCCAGGCATAAAAGAGTGCCCTTATCTCAAGAAATAACCAATATAAAAGGGTAGACTGACTCAAGGGTTAGAGTCCCTGCCAAGCAAGGCCCTGAGTTCAAATCCAGAACTGAGAAGAAAAAAAGAAGAAGGAAAAGGAAAAGAAAAAAGAAGAGCGCAGAGACTTCATTAAGCAGAGAGTAATTTTGTATGGATGATTTTATGTGTGCTTCCTGATAGGTAGCTGTTAGCGAATGACTTATGTGTAGCAGAATCTTGTCTCTGATTTATTTTAGTTATATCTAGTTAGCAAGGTTGTGGGGACAGTAGTAAACCTCCCTTACTACTATCAAAATCCACTTCTCCCAAACCTCTAGGTCTTGGACCTACCCAATTGGCTGAGGTTTGCAACAGGTGGTAATCATTGAGAGCTGTGTACAATCTTTAAAAGAAAAGAAAGAGAAAAAAATGTATGCTTTATAAGATTAAGGGGGAAAAGGTTTTTTGGTTTGGGTTTGGAATGATGCCAATTTAGTATTATAATTATAATTCTGGTTTACTTGTGCTGCTCACAGGATCTGATTGACAGCGAATGGGCAGTCAGTAATAACTTACTTTTTGCTGGCAAGAAAAGTTAATTCAGATAGTATGGGTGAGTTTGTTTTAAAGAACTAGAAGGAAACAATGAGTTCCTGTGACTGAGCTCTCAATCTTTTCATTTTAGAGATAAGGAAACTGGGGCCTGAAGCAGATGAATAATTTTTATTTATTTATTTTGGTCGGTCGTGGGGCTTTAACTCTGGGCTTGGGCGCTATCACTCAGCCTTCAGCTCAAGGAGAACACGCTACCATTGAGCCACAGCGCTCCTTCCGGTTTTCTAGTGGTTTATTGGAGATAAGAGTCTCACGGACTTTCCTGCCCGGGGTTGGTTTTGAACCGTGATCCTAAGATCTCAGCCTCTTGAGCAGCTAGGATTTCAGGTATGAGCCACCAGCACCCGGCTAGATAATAATTTTTGCAAGGTCTCCACGTTTCCATTTCTGAATCAGACCTCTTCTGGGAACATGATAGGATCCTTGCATTCTTACTTGGCTGGAATTCCATCAAAAGCCTCCACTGCCTTCCCAAGCTAGAATATTTATTCAGCACCTGGGATTTTCCCACATTTCCACTGCTGAAGGCAAAGAGTTTATCAATCAGGTCCAAGAAGCTATTAGTGGATGACAGAGATTTTTGAGCAAATTCTCTCTTCAAGTATTTGTCATTAAATAGATAACAAGGGAGCTGAGACTTTAAAAAACAAAACAAAACCACCATACCTCCTGCTAATGAATAGCCCCTCACTTGTAAAACTTTAACTTCACTAAGCAGTCCCCATCTCTAACCTTGCCTTAATGATTGACACCATGGAGGAAGGTTGAGCCACAGATACTCACAGAGCCATTAGATAGAGGACAAGCATGAAGTGGGTGTTAGGTCCATGCTGATGGTTTAGATTAGGCCCTTATCCATCTGAGAGATGATGGGAAACCAAGAACTGCACCGCAATGGGAATGGAGCAGTAGGGAAATACACTAGCTCTGTGTATGTGCTCTACAAAAGGTTAAACTTAATCATCCCATTCTTTGTCCCTTCCCAAATAATTATGTCTCCCAGAAAGGTACTTCCAAGCATGTAGAGTAATAAAACTAGTAATTTGGTGGTATCTGCATGCCTCATATTTTCCTATCCTGGGAGTGGGAGAAGACATGTCTGATTCCAACCCATTTTGAGACTAGGGCTCTGAATGGCCTAGATGCTAGGCTGCTGACCAGGCTGGGAAAGCACGTAGGTCCTCTGCACCTATCCCGTGTGGCAAGAATGCTACATCCTGATCTGTTTCCACCCCTCTACAATTCTCTAACTAACATTACCATATTCTTTTAATTTTATTGTAAAGATGCTGTACAGAGGGGTTACAGTTACATAAGGTAATGCATGTATTTCTTGTCAAATATTGTTACCCCCTCCTTTGTTTTTCTCCTATTCTTGTGTATGCATTAAAACAAAATGAACTTTTAAATAACTTGATTGAGAAGACATATAAAAATGAAAGAACAGAAGAGCATGCTGGGGTTGAGAGTGGTTGAAGAGTCATTGATTCTCACTAAAAACAGCACTGAAATAGTTTCTGCTCACGTGTGTGCTGACAGTAGGTCTGTGGCTGTTGGCTTAGAGTTGAAAAGTTAAGCATAGGTCAGGAGCTGACAAATGGCTACACTTAAGCTCTTCCTTTTACCCTATAATGGATCCTCCTCCCTGTAAGGAGATACGAACATTTTAAAACACTAAACCAAGCCAGCACTTCCCAGGATCCTCTACAAAGGCTTCCTGACTTGCTAAGGGAATCCTACAAGAGATGAAGTCATGTTCAAAGAGAATCACAAGCTGTGTTACCACAGCATCCCACTTTCTTTCCCTCTTAAGATCTAATCATCTCCTTTGTTTCCCAAGGAATACAACCAATATAGCCACAGGACTGCTAAATTCAATCAGTGGTTTAGAGAATGCAGGGCAGCTGTCCTGGGGTGGTGAATACACCTCCTCAGCCCACACCACCATTTAGCTAGATAGATAGACGATAGATAGATAGATAGATAGATAGATAGATAGATAGATAGATAGATAGATAGATAGATAGATAGATAGATAGACGATAGATAGATAGATAGATAGATAGAGATACATATATATATATATAGGTGGATAAATAGATATAGTTAGATAGATAGCTAGATCTTCATACACACACCTTTAAAGTGCAAAAGGTTAAACTAATAAGAAAAATAACTAGGTGGTCCACTGTGCATGTACAAAGTTCATAGTGACAAAGTGAAGCTTTATGATGGCTAATTCCAATCTAAAGTTGATCGTAGGATTCCTTTTCTCAACATTCCCCCTTGCTTCCTGTTACAGTGACCTCTTTTAAGCCACAGAAGTCCTTCTAACTGCCTTGCTGTACCAGCCTCCTTGCTGCTCACACCACCCTGCCAGGCACTATTTAGAGAGAGATTCTGTTTATGGAGATAACAAACCCCTCATTTCCTGTAAATCTAATCATTTTCTCAATTAGGCCTGCAGTAAACCTACCTTCCTCCCTCTCCCTCTCCCTCTCCCCCTCCTCTTCTTCCCCCCTTCCCCCCCCCCAATCTCTTAGGGCTAGTGCTTGACTTCAGGACCGGGGCACTGTCCCTGAGTTTCTTTTGCTCAAGGCTAGCACTCTACCACATGAGCCACAGAGCCACTTCTGGCTTTTTCTGCTTATGTGGTACTAGGGAATGGAATCCAGGGCTTCATGCATGCTAGGCAAGCACTCTGCCACTAAGCCACATCCTCAGCCCAGTGAATCTTTCTTTAATTGCAGCCTCTTGGCTTCCCCAGCCACCCTCCCACAATCATTTGATTCACTTTATCTTAATTCATTTTTTATTTAATAGCACTAGCCACCCTTCAACATATATATACACATATATAGATATATATTTCTCAGTATTCATTATGTCTATTGTCTAGCTTTCCTAACAGAATTCAAGCAGTAAGTAAATCCTTGGTTGCAAGGACTGTTGTCTGCTTTGATAAGTGATGAATTAGAACCAAAATGTCCCTAGCACAGCATGTACTCATACTCATACACACATATACATATTGTCCGCCCTCTCCCCCACCCCCACCCCAGAGCTGGGATATAGGTCAGTGATAGGTCATTAGCATATACATATGGTCGTGGGTCCAATTCTGAGCATTGAAAAATATGTACATGTACATGTACATGTATACATATATGTATATATGATCACTTCTCAGCCTTTTAGTTAAGATAAAGTGTAATAAAAGTTGGGTCAGATAAAGTGTAGGAAATAAATATAAGTTGGGTTACTGTCAGGTGCTAGTGGCTAATTCTTATAATCCTAAATTGTGGGAAGGCTAAGATTCAGAGAATCACAGTTTAAAGCCAGCTGGGGCAGCAAAGTACATGAGACTCCATCTCCAAAATAATCTGCAGAAAGCAAGGCTAGAGGCATGGTTCAAGAAGTAGAGTACCAGATGAGCAAGTGTGTGTGTGTGTGTGTGTGTGTGTGTGTGTGTGTGTGTGTGTATGTATGCTCATTTTGGCAGCATATAGACTAAAATTGGAATGATACAGTGAAGAGTAACCTGACCTCTACATAGAATGAAACACAAATCTATGAAGCATTCCATCATTTTACTAAACATAAATCTACCTTATGATCTTGCAATACCAAAAAATTACAAGCTAAGATACAATAAAAAAAAAACCTGGACAACCATGTTCATTGCAGCACTATTCATCACAGCCAAAGTATTCACCATAGCCAAGGTATGAAATCCGCCTAGCTGCCCCTCAATGAGCAAAAGGATCAGGAAAATGTAGTATAGATACACATAGGAATTTTGAGGGAAGGGAGAAATTCAGTCATGAAATTCAATGAACAAACCTACAAAATCCAAGAAAATCAAGGGAAGGAGTCCAATTAAGAGGGATTGGGGGGAATGAAGAAAGGGTAATATTGATCAAGATGCATTATATTCATGAACTGCTTCATTGAAGGGTACACTCCTTCGCACAACTACTTACAGATAATAAAAATACATTTTCTTAAAGTGCTGGATATTTACTAACTTTTATGAACGCTAGTAGTTATTCAGAACTTACTATATCCCAGACATTTTGCCTGCATTACCTCCTGACATCCTCACAAAGCTGTGAGATAGGATCTATGGGTTGAGTATTCCTCAGACAAAATTCTCGTGACCATAAGCGTTTTACATTTCAAATTGTTGAATATTTGAATTTATCTAGTGAAATATATGGGGATGGGGCCAAAGTCCAAACATAAAGTTCCCTTATGTCTCATATACATCTTGTATACATTGCCTGAAAATAATTTTACAACATATTTTTCATGTACCTGTATTTTCAGTGTCACTCATCACACGAGGTCAGGATGGAACCCTCTACTTCAGCATCAAGTCAGGTTCAAAGAATAATAAAACAAAGCTTTTCATAATATTATTACTTTATTTACAAGATAAAATTGAGGCAGGAATGGCTTGGGTTAGGCTCTCCAACAGAGAAGTCAAAATGAAAATAAGTCCATCTGATTCTACTTAATTCCAATGCTGTATTTCCTATCCTAATCCTGCTAGGCAAATTTTGTAGATTTTGCTTACTAGAGGGAAAGATCTGAAGTATGAAAAAGCATTACTCTCTCATAAGTTCAGAGAAAGCTCTTATGGAAAAAACGTACCTAGAAATATTTATTTGACATCATCCCCTAGAAGGAGAGTAAAATGATTAGTAATCAAATAAAAGCCTGGGTTCAACTCTAGACCCCTTCTTCTAACCCTTGCGACTCATATGAAGGTAATAATCTTATAAATAAAAATAATGATGCTTATTGTATAAGAATATTGTAAAGATCAATAAAATGAGATCACGTTCATGAAAATGCAGTGTAGTGTCTGCCTCATTATTTGGTCCTCATGGTCAGAATTTGAACAATGAGTAAATATTTGTTAAGCACCTAATATGTGTCAGATATTGTAGGCACTGTAGTGATAAGCACGTATCTAATGGTGATACAGATCAACAAGCAACTATTCTAGAATCATACCAAAAATTACACTGAAATATTACATACTAGAACACTATATGCTGCTTAATGCTGAAATTAATGAGCTAACACGAGAATGGAAAGAAAGTGATAACTGATTGCAAAATCATGAAGTACAAAAACAAAACAAAGCTGTAAAAAGGATGGTATTAACAATTGGACGTAGGCACAGTGACTCACACTTGTAATCCTATCTACTCTGGAGGCAGAGATTGGGAGGAAATCATTTTAAGGCCATCTCAAAAAGTTAGCAACAAGCCGGGCTGGCTCACGCCTATAATCCTAGCTACTCAGGAGGCTGAGATCTGAGGATCGCGGTTCAAAGCCAGCCCGGGCAGGAAAGACTGTGAGACTCCTATCTCCAATAAACCACCAGAAAACCGGAAGTGGCGCTGTAGCTCAAGTGGTAGAGTGCACGCCTTGAGCTGAAGAGCTGAAGGACAGCGCCCAGGCCCAGAGTTCAAGCCCCACGACCGACAAAAAAAAAAAAAAAGTTAGCAACAAAAAAGCTCGGCATAGTGGTACATGCCTTTTATCCTAGCTAAGACAGACAGGTAAAATAAAAGGATTATTGCTTAGCAAAAAAGACAAGACTCTAACCTGAAAAATAACCAGAAATATAACTAGAGCAGTAAGGGCTGGTGGTAGAGCAACTGCCGAACTAGTGTGATCCTTGCCTCTTCCCTTTGCTCCCTCAAAAAAATTGGAACTACATTGCTCAAAAAGGACTGCACAGGTCATTATCTGGAAGTTAGAATTAATTCTGAAAATATTTAGAGTTGGTCTAGTTTACATGCTGTTTATCAAGAAAAATCTTGAGTAAACATATATTTTCTCAACTATTTGTAGACTACACGTAAGAATGTCACTAATGATCTCTTTCACTGTCTTCTCCAATCCTAAGGACACCTTAAATTCCAAAAACTGAAACATCTCAAATATCTCAAATTTCAGATGTGTTTTTACTTCAAGAAGTAGAACTAAGCCAAAGAAAGAAGAAAATCAGTGCCCTTCCTTTTTTACAATTAAGACCAATAGAGATGGAGCCATGAGCCTCAGCCACTGTTCCCTAAACACAGACAGATTAACATTTTAGTTTAATTTCTGCACACCACTTCAGACCACCTGCATCCCTAAATAGTACCAGAAAACAGGCCCTTCTTCGTACATTAATTTTACATCTCCTTCTCTCCCAGGCAGCTAGGGAGCTAACAAGCAGTCCCTGCGGCTCAATCTCAACTGACTTGGCATGAATTCAGGCAACACAACTACAGCTGTTGCAAAACAGCATTTTTCATATAAGGAAGCCGTATCAACATGAATACTAACAGTCATGATGATTTAAGATGGGTAAAAAAAAATGCTTTGAGATATTTGGAACTTGCAAGGACAGATACTCATTTTCCTTTTTAATTGCATAAGCATATTATATTCCAGAGGTCCTAAACAAATGTCAAACCAAGCAAACTGGAAATACATCTGAATTGAGAAAACTAATTTCTCACACAAACTAGGTTTATATTATTTCCCTACCTGTTTCCTCTATAATCTGCAAGTCTGTAACCTTCACAGCTCCTCAATTTTGTTTTTGAATATGTATCCCCCCAAGACATTTCTTTTAGAGTATCTAGTTCAGTTGAGAAGAAATAATTAAACTGTTAAATGGCTTACAATGATGGATTTATTAGAGGAAAAAAGTCTAATACATCCATATGAATCTGGATTCCTAATCTTTACTCCTTTATGTCATAACCATATCTATTATGTATGTTCATATCTGTGTGCTCAGTTCCCTTGCAAATCATCCAACATGACAAAAATCACATTGATTCTACCATACATGAGGAGATGTGGAAAGCTTATATATGGGTAAGCAATCTCCATTTGACCAAGAAATCTTGCCAGGAGCTGGTGGGTGCTTATACCTGTAATCCTAGCTACTCAGAAAGCTGAGTCTGAGGCTTGGGGTTTGAAGCCAGCCTGTATAGGAAAGTTCATGAGACTCTTATCTCCAATATACTACCAAAAGAGCTGGAAGTGGAGCTGTGGCTCAAGTCATAGAGCACTAGCCTTGAACATAAAAAGCTCAAAGACATTGCCCAAACTCAGAGTTCAAGCTCCAGGGCAGAACAGAAAGGGGGGGGGGGGGGGGGGCCAAGAGGGGAAATCAGGAGCTCTGTTACGCAGCTCTATGAACTAGTAGTTATACATTGCTTTTCCTACAGTTATTAAGATAAATAAGGATTCTGTACGAATAAACCAGGCCTTTGTACAAAGTTAGTATTCAGACAAGTAGAAATTGTACCGACTGATACATATATTGATTTCATCATAGCAGTGGCAATGTATTTTATGTTTGATGCTTAAGAACCAATGGCATTCTGGGTGTCAGTGGCTCAAGCCTGTAATCCTCACTACTCAGGAGGCTGAGATCTGAGGATCACAGTTCAAAGCCAGCCCAGGCAGGAAAGTCTGTGAGACTCTTATCTCCAATAAACCACTCAGAAAACCAGAAGTGGTGCTGTGACTCAAGTGGTAGAGCGCTAGCCTTGAGCTGAAGAAGCCTTGAGCTTGAAGCACCCAGGCAGAGTTCAAGCTCTATGACCGACCAAAAAAAAAAAAAAAAGGCATGTGGTCACTCCTGGAATGTGGACACTATCAAAAAAGCATAACTCTTTCTTGCCAGGCATCTTTGGCTAATGCTCGCAATCCTAACTACTTAGGAGGCTGAGATCTGAGAACTGTAGTTCAAAGACAGCCCAGGCAAGAAATCTCTGAGATTCTTTTTTTGTTGTTTTTTTTTGCGGGGGGGTCTGGTTATGGGGCCTGAACTCTGGGCCTGGGCGCTATCCCTCAGCTCTTCAGCTCAAGGGTAGCGCTCTACCACTTGAGCCACAGTGCCACTTCCAGCTTTTTTTCTTTTTGCTTATGTGGTGCTGAGGAATCGAACCCAGGGCCTCATGCATGCAAGGCAAGCACTCTACCACTGAGCAATCTTCCCAGCCCCTCTCTGAGACTCTTATTGCCAACTAAGCACCCAAAAGACCAGAAATGAAGTTGTGGCTTAAGTGGTAGAGTGCTAGCCTTAAGCACAAAAGCTCAGGGGCAGTACCCAGACCCTGAGGTTAAGCCACAGGAATGGCATAAAGAGAATTCTTACTGGTGGCTACAGAAACCATATATAGGGGGTGTCCTTTCACTTTGCCAACAGCTCTGCTGCATCCTGCACTCCTTGGTTCAGTTTTTCAAAACCTAACAGTGAAAGGAACAAAAATGAAAACTAAGACTTTTATGTAGTGCTCCATAAAGGAAAACTCACAGGCTGGCAAGAGTCCCTTTCAGCTAGATAGCCACATGGACAATTCTTGAAAAGAGCCATATGGACATACTTGTTGTTTCTGGCCTCTTTACCTTCTAACTCTTTTTTTTTTTTTTTTGTATATAGAGTCCTCTAGTTATTACCACCAAGTGATTAATCACCTTTGAATTCCCAAGGCTACAAAAGGCATTTACTGGCAACCATTCCATGTTTCACTTTCAGCTGAGGACCCTGGAGACTTCTTAAGTAAA